AACACGGCTGCTACTCTGAAACCAGCCTAAGACAGGACACCCCCATGGTGGTCCCCTAGCTGTTATCCCCCCTGGAGCTTTCCCTCCGCACAGTTAGCTGGGGAGGATTCATTATCATCAAATAAACACAGATGGGTTCCCATGCAATGCTGGGTCCCAACCCTGCAGCACTTCCCAGCTGCTTCTGGGGCTCAAGCCCTAAACCCACGACAGCGGGGAAATCCAAATCCAGCACCCTGCTGCTGACAGCCTGGAGACAGAAGGCTGCTACTTAGCCACAGAACAGGGGCAGCCCATGATAATATGGCCGGGTCTCAGCATTAGAAGAGAACCACAGAAATGTAGGACTGGAAGAGACCTCGATCAGTCAGCTACTCCAGTCCCCTGCACTGAGGCAGAACTAAGTATTATCTAGACCATCCCTGACAGGCGTTTGTCCAGCCTGTTCTGAAAAACCTTAACCTTAAATACCTTTAAAAAATGATGGAAATTCCACAACCCCCCCAAGTAATCTGTTCCAGTGCTTAACTCTCTTTCGTGTTAGACGTGTTTCCTAACGTCTAACCTAATTGCCCATGCTGGATCGAGAAGTGGATGGTTCAGTCTCTTTAGCCCCATGCAATCCCTAGTGCCTCTGCTGATTTGTTCATTTTAATGACAGTTACACAGATCATTCTTCCAGAAAGGCAAGAAAAAAAAAATCTCTTGGCCCAACTCATCCTTATGTGGACTTAACGCTCCCATAGCAATGGGGCTGTGACATAGTTTATATTAGAACGGGGCAAAAAAATTCCTACAAAACATTTTTTGGTGAGAAATGAATTTTTTTAAAAACTGGAAGTTTTCACAAAAAAATCAATTTCTGGGTTTTCAATGAAAACCCATGAACCTAAAAATGTTCAGGTACTAAAAAAATTTTTTTTTAAAATTGTGTCAAAAACCTGAACAATTTGTACAAAAACATTTTTTGTTTTCTTTGAAATTGTTTCTCTCAGGGGAGGGATGTCAAATTTCCTGACCAGCTCAAGTTCATACCTCTTGGAAGGGTCTCTTTCCGTAAAAAAAGCTTATGATTTGGGGCGGGCTGCACAAATCAGATGTCAAGAATTATAACATTCATAAACCAGTCGGAGAACACTTCAATCTCTCTGGTCACACGATTAGACATGAAAGTTGCGATATTACAACAAAAAAACTTCAAATCCAGACTCCAGCGAGAAACTGTTGAATTGGAATTCATTTGCAAATTGGATATAATTAACTTAGGCTTGAATAGAGACTGGGAGTAGCTGGTTCATTATGCAAGGTAACCTATTTCCCCTTGTTCCCCCCCCCCCCCCCCCCCCCGATGTTCTTGTTAAACCCTGGATTTGTGCTGGAAATGGCCCACCTTGATTATCATACACATTGTAAGGAGACTGATCCCTTTAGATAAGCTATTACCAGCAGGAGAGTGGGGTATGGGGGGGGGGGGGTATTTTTTCCATGCTTTGTGTGTATAAAAAGATCTTCTACACTTTCCACAGGATGCATCCGATGAAGTGAGCTGTAGCTCACGAAAGCTTATGCTCAAATAAATTGGTTAGTCTCTAAGGTGCCACAAGTCCTCCTGTTCTTTTAGTCAGAACCAAGGCACACAGCTTGTGATTCTCCACCTGGAGTGATGGATTTTTTTATCAAAACTAGAACTAAAGCTAGAACGGCTGGCGGAAGGGAATAGATAGATGACCAAATTATCAATCCATCTCGCAGATGTGATGCTATTATGCATGGAAGAAGGTTCAGACAGCAGTGGCAATGGCTGGGAGTGATTGATCACTCACTGATTCATCTGGCCCCAGATTCGCTCTCTGATAGAAAATATCGTTTTAACAAAGCACCATTAGCTCATAACTCATGCTATTTCATGGATGGGAGATAACCTTAGCTGGGAAATGCCATCCCATCCCTGCCCAGAGCATTACAAATTGCCAGGCAGGTGCCATCTCCCCAGGGGGCATCACTTATTCACTGAATTGACAGCTAACTAAACTTAATTACAAGACAGTTTAAGGCTGGGGAAGTTGTCAAAGACTCTGCATTTAAATCTTTGATGAGCTCAGCGGCTGAAAGCAAGCCGGCATCCCCTTTTTCCCTTAACAACTGTGTGGTGGCTATTCGGCAAGCAGCAGGGTGTGAAATCACATCTCCTGGAGGCAGGGAGCCAAGTGCATGGTTAAAAGGAGGAGGAATGTCTTCTAAAGGCAGGGTTTAAAGGGCCGGTAGCAACACATTCAGTTTTTAATCTACTTTCCTGGAGAGGCCAGCTTCAGCTTTTTGCTGGCTGGTGAAATCTGATGTGATGCTCTGTGAAAGAGGAAGGGGGTGGGGTGGGGGGGGAAGAGGAGAGTAACACGGGGAGCTCAAACCCATGACCCTGAGACTAAGAGTCTCATGCTGGACCAACTGCACTAGCGAGGCACTAAGGGGGAAAAAAGAACCCTTCATCTTTGCATTAACCCCAAGAAGAGGGGCAATTTCTGAGATGTGCTGGGTTCAGATGGCATAACAACCTAAATACCCATGCAGGATTTCCACCACTTCACTAACCACCCACCCAACCATGAAACTCTCTCTAGAGCTCTCCCGCACCTGCATCAACTTCCTGGACATGATCAGCTTCATGGAACCGTACAGCCACGCATCACTGCCCCAGATCCAGTAACCACCCCAAACACACCAAGAATTCTGTTAGCTACAGCCAGGCACTCAGATACCACAGAATATGCTCCGAGGGGAAAGTCCAGAATACACACACACACTTAAAACTGCTTTCACTAAACCAGGACACTCCGCCCGAGAAGTAGATCGCATCATGGAATGGGCCACCCAGATACCCAGAAAGAACCTGCTTCAACAGGGAAAAAAAACACTGACCACACACCGCTGGTTGTCACCTGCCACCCCACACTGGAACCCATATGGGGTAGCAAACAATTACAACCCACACTTGATGGGGACCAAAACCCCCAATCCTCGCCATGCTCATCATCAGAAGCAAACTCCTCACAGACCAGGACAACTCAAAGTGGCATCAGACCATGCCATGACAACAGATGCAAAACCTGCAGACATATCTCCACAGCTATAATGATCAATACCGCCCCTCCCGCCCCCCACGCATCTTTCAACATCCAGGGGTCCTACACATGCCAATCACAATATATGGTGTACCTCATCTGGTACATCAAATGCCCCAACAAGAACTATGTGGGTGAAACCAGAAAAATCGCTGCACTCTTGAATGAACCCACACACAAAAACGATAAAAGACCTGTCATCGGTGGGTGAACACTTTTCACAAAATGATCACGCCATAGCTGATCTCTCAGCCCTCATCCTCAGTGGAAACCTGCACAGCACCTTCAAAAGACGAGCCTCGGAGCTTAAATTCATAACTTGGCTAGCTGTCTACACATCCAGCGCGTCTGGTGAAGATGCTCTAAACCACCTCTGCGAGCAGCGGTAGCTATGGCAACGGGAGAAGCTCTCCTGTGCACACCGGTGCTTATGTCAGGGAGTGGTTTATTCACCCACCTCCCTGAACGACAAAGTACGCTGACACAAGCTGTCATGTAGATGTAGCCTAACAGTACTGGACTCAGTGGAGACACTGGCTTAAGTTTCATTACAATCTGTAATCCACTAACCCTTCCTTGTCCAATGACTACGGGGGTGTTAATTTCCCACTTCGTCTTGAATGGTCTCTTGCAACATGCATTAACTCCTTGTGCTTAACAATCTGTTTCACCTTGTATTTAGTTGTGACACTCTGAGTACCTTTCCCAGACCTGATGGTGAGAGAGGGGAGTTTTCTCAGCTCTTCAACAGAAGTTGGGCCAATAACAGATATTACCCACCTTGTGGCTCTCATATCCTGGGACCAACATGGCTACAGAAACACTGCAAACCACTGGCTTTAAAGTCAGGATTTCTCTTTCACTGGGTGAGGCTGAAAAGTCACCGAGCCACCAGCTAATTCAGACTATTTGATACTGTATTTGATCTACCACATAACTAGGGCTGGGAGGGATGGAAGTGGACGAGAGACCCAAGTGCGATGCTCCAGAGATTTCAGAAGCAAAAAGGCACAGTCACAAGCAGCTGGCTAACAAGGCGTGAAAAGCACAGATGTGCACAGCTACAACAAAGCCAACTGCAGCATCCCGAGATTTCACAGGTGAGGTGTTGGAGCTAGGAATTTGCAGGAGGTTAAGAGATGTGCAGGGTACAAGCCCGCCCCCACATAGTACAGATTTCCCGTTCTTCAGCGTAAGCCATATTGATGTGAACACCTGGAACACAAACATATGGTTAGAGCAGGGGAGTAGGGGGTCAGGACTGGAGGGTTCTAGTCCCAGTCTGGGAGTGGCAGTTCTTCCTAATGGTTTAAGCAAGGGACTTTAGCTACGTAATCACTGCAGAAAATCAGTGTTTTTACATCACCATCACTAACTCCAGATATCTGTCTCAATGTAAAATCCTAGTGGAGATGAACCCCTGTTGTTTTCACCCCATGTAGCTAGTCAAGGTCAACTTCAGGTGGGTGGTATAAAAGTTGACCTCGACTAGCTACATGGAGGTAAAAACCACATGCGCCTTGTCTCCATTAGGTCTTTACATCCAGATAGCTGGCTCCATGCGAAACACATACCTTCAGTGTAGTAAAATCACAGCCCATTGGGACTCCCGAGTTCTATTCAGGGTTCACGGCCTGACCAGAAGTCACCCAGCTTTACTGTTTGCAAAGTGATTTCAGACAGAGGTGAAAAAAATCACAGCAAAGGGCAAGGACTAATTATTCCCACCCCTTCCCCACCATAAAAAGAAACAGAGGGCTATCATCACCATCCTCTCTTCGGCTTAGTGTGAAAAGCTTGACCCCCACCTGCCCTCACCCTCCACACACACAAAGCCAGACGCAGTGTCATGCAGAAGGCAGAGAGCCACCAACAACGTAGTCAAATTTCATATTGTTTTATTAAAACAAAAACCAATGGTTATAACTTGATAGACGTTTTTGTTCCCTCTTCCCCCTTTCCAGTTAAATTATTTGGGCAATTACAAAAGTAACGATCACAAGACCTAAAAGTTAGACACAGAGCCTGGACAGTGACACTTAACTCACCAGAACACATGCAGAGAAGCCATCAGATCACTGCCATCGTATCGTGTGTGAGTTCATACAGTCAGTGATTGGGTCATAAGCAGTGGTGCAGAGACCCTGTCCTGATTCAGGAAGCAATAGCTGCTCTCTGGGGCATGGAACCTTCCTCATTCATGCGGAAATTCTGTGCAGCAGAACTCCAAGGGAAAACTAAGGGCACCTCCAATTAATAGCTATCATTTAAAGGCAGTTTCTAAATCCACTGATTTGGCAGCAAAGAAAAAAAAATTAGTGCAAAGCCTCACCCAAATTGGCTGTCAGCACCATCGATCAGGTGGGCTGAGAATGCCACCAGCCCTCCAATTCCCCACCACAACACCATACTGCCTTTAACTGGACTCGACGCCGTCCCCACAAAGATGGCCAGCAAGGGGGAGAAATGGAACTGCGTCACCAGAGCTATGGCTCCACTTGGTTTTTAAGACGTAACTGAGGGCAACCAGTGGGAGGCAGCATAGGACACACGGACACAGCAGCTGTGGTGCTGTTTCACTCGGTTTAAGCGGTGTTCACTCTCTATTTACTGGTGTCAGCAGAAGACAGGAAAGGAAGGATAGAAAGGGATGAACAGACGGCTGGAGAGCACAGTAGGAAATACAGCATTTCTCTTTCTAGTATCTGTGGGCTCCATGTACATCATACCAGAACAAACCAGAGGAATACCCAGCTGTGTTCTTGCTCTTCTTTCTTACAGCTTATAGAAGAAAAATGTGATTGAGGAAAAACTAATTAGGATGGGAAGAGACTAGTTATCTGAGGCTGCCCTAATAAATCAACAGATTCTATTTAATGAGCAATTACAGACACGACAGAGGGGCAGTAAGAATGATGGCCCATGTTCATTTCCAGGGATTCCAACTAAAGTGGGCTCAGTTTACAAGGGAAAAGACTGATCCCCCACCCTCGCCAAGCTGCCAGTGCTGTAACACCAGCGGGGACCAGCGAGTCAAGCAGTGTTTTTTACATCAATCGTCAATAACGAAGTGTCACACATTAAGACAGTTCTGTTGATGCATGAGGCAGAGTGGGGCCCAGACCGTTTGGCCCTGGCAGAGCTAACAGGAGCAAAGACTGGGTGTGGCATCAAAGGAGGCAGGTAAATACTTGGTGCTTTTCCACCAGTAGATCTCAAAGCCCATTCCGAAATGGGGGTGAGGACCATTCCCCTCCCTCCCCATATTTCACAGACAGGGAGACTAGAGAAACTGTCTGATTTTCAGAGAAGCTGAGCAAGCCCAGAGGGACCTGCACGTGCTCAGCACCCAGGACGAAATCCACCCTGACATTCTCTGCCCTCCCTACATCATGAGCTGGACCCTGCAATTCACCTGGGGACCACCACTGCCAGCCCTCAACTGCAGGGCACGCAATAAAACTGGCCACATGCAGGAGCGACAGAGGCTGCCCCCTTTGTGGTAATTACACCGTTCTCAGGGCTAGCGCTGCACGAAGAGATCTTCAGTTTCCCTGGACACCCAAAGCCACGCACCCACCGGTCTTTGACACCAAGATCGAATCGCTGGGACCCTGCCTGAGATGTCCTTGCCTGCATCTGTAAGTGCACACAGCACAATACAGTAAGGCATCGACACCTCCCTTCTCCCCACCCCAACCGAAGTGTCACCTTCCAAAGGCAGAGATGAGAATGGATGGTCGGACAGCGCAGACACACCCCAGTGTCGCCTGGTCAGAGCCGTATGAACGCGTTGTCCCTCCCTTCCGGCCAGCCCTCAGCGCACAGCAGCACCTGCCCCACTAGCCCATTGTGCTGGGAGTTGGACAGCAGTCTTGCAACAGGTGGTTTTCATCCCAGAGGACTTTCTGTACAGCTGCCTGGGGGAGATCCAGGGAAGCAGCCAGCAGAGGCCGCTGAAAAGCATGTCAGCGCTTAGTAATGCATACTGGGAAAGATGCTGCCCTGCCCTCAGCAAGAGGAGCCTTGCACTCCTTTGCAGTACCCTGCAGCTGGACACCAGCCACTCGGAAAAGCTGCACCAGCCTCACATAAGCAAGTTTCTGAAGCTACAGTTTCCCCAAGCAGCCAGATTCTCTCTCGCCCAACCTAGTATCCAGGGATGCTGGTGGGGCTTCCAGCAGCTGTAGCGAGAGCGGACGATGGCATAAGACAGGTGGATTTGCAGCCACGAGTGCTGATGCCTTTGTGGTGCCCTACAAAGCTGCTTGTTTCAAGTCCCCGGGAGGCCAACCCTGCCAGTCTCTGCACAGTCACTGCGATCCCTCCCGCTCCCAGCCCTTGTCAGCACGCATTTCTCAAAGCTGCAAGCCAGCTCCCAGTGACTAGCACGCTGTCAGTTCCTGTCGGGGGAGAGCACCTCCGCCAGGTACTCCAGGGCACAGGATTAGCTCAGGCAAACGCATCTGGGGGGTGCGGGCACAGAGGGGAACTTGGAAAGCAAAGCTGCTCGGGAATCCGGAGTTCAAACCCAGTTCAGCTCAAAACCAGAGGCTGTTTCTGGCCTGCCCGCAGACTCACAAGCAGCTTCGATGTCACCAATCCAGGGAGGCTGGGCTCCAGGCTCCTGCCACAGGAATGCTTGTCAAGCGCTCAGCAGGCCAGGAGTGGCTCCAGGGCATCTCCCATTGCTTCCCCCCTCATGCCATGGCATAAAACAGCATCTGAGCTGCCACGCCAGATGTCTGCCCGCTGACAGGTGCCAGACAGCCAGCCCTGGCCAGGCCAGCTCCCCCCCATGCAGCTTTCAGCCGAGAGAGCAAGCCTGCCTCGGGGGGGCGGAGGGCCTGCTGTAGGGCACGAGGAGATCTGTCTAAGGCCAGGTCAATCCTTTGCCAGTGGGGCTGGTGCTTTTTCTGCTGTAGCCACCTGTCTGCTAGGATCCACCAGCTCGGAGACTCGTCGGAGGGCAGAATTACGTGGAAGCAAAATCCACGTCAAAGCCTTCACTGCTTCCTAACCGAACAGCGCAGCAAGAGGCTGGATGGACACAGCAAATGCAGCATCTCCCAGAACAAAGCCTGTACAACGGGAACATGTGCTCCGGCAGCAGGGAACCAGTCAGTCCCTTAGCACGGGCTGTCCTTCCTCCCTGCAAGAGGCACTATCGTTTTAGCAGAGAGTCACCGCACTGTCCCCCCATAGACCACATCGGCCACTTGCTCGGAGTCCAAGGGCTGCCTCTAAGATCGCTGCTATGGGGAATGCAGGTGTCAGCTGATCTCCTAGATCCACGCAGCCAGGTGAGTTCCAAGGTAAGGCCCAGGCAGGTTTACTCTACGGTGCCACATGTGAAGGGGATAAAAGCTCAGGAGGAATTTTATTCTACACAGCCCTCTTGGATACCGGGGAATTTTGTGGGGTCTGCCCTGGCTGATCTCACACCAGGTGCTGACACGCTGCATGTGTTAAAACTCAGCCACGGAATGGGACCTGCCTGGGAAGAGCACGATGTCCTGCTGCTCAGGGCAAGCCCAGCGCTGGGGCGCCCAGATGAGCCACGCAAGAGCTGTCGGAGCAGCGTCTGCTGCGCAGCAGGGACACGCTGTTGGGAGAGTCTTGCCATGGCTGAAGGCTGTAGCTGCTGTGCCGGGCTACTGTGCTCCTTGGAAACCACAGGCCAGCATGCTCTGGGGTCCTTCAGTGCTGCCAAAGACCGGAGCAAGTGAAGGACCCGCCGCTGAAGTGCTGCTGAAGACCCGGAGCGCCGCCTGACCCGCCGCCCAAGACCCGGAGCGCCGCCGGGAGAGTACCAGTGGGTGGTGCCTTTTTTAATCTCCGCTCCCCCTGGCTATGCCACTGACAGAGGGGGTTGACTTTGGTGCTCTCAGGAGAAAGGCCACAGACTAGCAGCGAGGCAATGGCTTTGCGTCAAGGGGGCTCCTTTAATTTGGCGGCTTCTTCAGCCTGCTTTAAAAGACATTTATTTCTGGTGTTCCCTAAAAGTATAAAATTGAGAGGGCAGGACCTGGGCAGCTCCCATCGCTGCATGGCAGCACCACTGGGTGCTCACCCCCAGAACATGATTTCACCAACACGGCCGGCCAACCGACCCTCCAACGTCATTCCCCCGGCCCTCCCCGCGCACACCAGTCTGCAGCTTCTCAGACAGCCGTCCCCACGGGGAGAGGCAGCCGTTGGCTCTTGCCAGCCTCCTTGTTTGGGTCTGTGCCCTCCGCTTTCAGCCACTCCATCTTCTGCTCGTGCTGCTGTACCGCGTCGGTCATGCGGGCGTCGATCATGGCCTCAGTCAGGACGCCGTCCTCGGATGCATACGCTGCAGCCTGCAGAGGAGGAGAGAAGGCCAGCTGGTTAGAAACTGAAGGCTCTGGCCTCCTCCCTCCCGACATCCAGACTATGCTCAGCACCTTGGCTCCTGAGCACCCTGGCACTGGGCCTTGTCCAGCCTATTAGCCACCAGTGCAACTGCCCCAGGGCCAAGCTGCTATTGGCACGGATGCCTGAAGCCAGGGTAAGATTCACCGGGGCTAAAAGCAGTTTTGTCTGTCTGCTGTAGAGGTTTGCACGGGGGTAGCTGCACCTGGGGGCAGAAATCAGGGCAAATCCCTGTCATGGACAAGGCTGGGGCTAATTTCAGTTTTTCCACCTTAGAACGATCAGAGGCAGCAAGTCTGGTCTCGCCCAGATTTGCAGGAGGGTCAGCGAGCGACCCTGGAGTGCTCAGCCCTCACCCGGAGGGCTGGCATCAGGTGGAGAGAGATCTTCCTTCCTGTTTGACAGGCGTCTGAATTAAATCGGGGTTAACATCATACATCCCTTCCCCCTCTTTGCCTCTTTGCATTGGAGCAGCCTCACTAAAAATCCTTTTAATTGCTCGGGTTTCCCTTGCTTCATACTGGTGATATTAACCCTAATAGTTCTCCAGTTTATCCGCAGGGTAGACAAGCCCATAACTTCTCACGTAGCAAACAGTCAGAGCAACACACTGTAGCTTTTTGGTGGTAAAACAAAAAAGTCTTCCAAGGCTTCTCTCCACAACATAAAGCAGCAGGGAAAAAAGAGACACATTATTTCACTTGCAAATGCCACCTTTTATTTTAAAAAACCGTTTCCACTGCAACGGGAAACAACATGAAAGCGCTCCTCTTTCGGGGGAGGGGAAGCTAACTAAACACACACAGCCTCTTACAAAATGCTACAGATGCCAAAAAACCGAGACACGCAAAAGACTAGCACAAAATGAAAGCCTAGTTATAAACCCATATTGATCTCCCCACTCCAGTGGGGAACAGAGGTCTCCAGACTGCTCGTGCCTCAGAACAGAGAGACAAATCATCACATGGCAAGAGCCATGTGTCGTCTATTGCTAACGAAAGGTGCTAGACTGACCGCCCGAGAGACTGAAAATGTGTTTGCCCACAGATAAGGTGTGGCATGGCAACGCAAGCCCCGCACCCTGGCCAGTGTACTCCAACTGCTGAGCGGAAGGGACACTAGTGGGGGTGAAGCCCCCAGCGTCTCTGCTAGGAATCCCAGGCAGGGTCTGCCCATTGTGACGGCCAGAAGGGAGACACTCCCCTCAAAATGGCAAGTTCCAAGTAAATCAGTTTTCTACCTGACCTTGAGAATTCGGGAGGGCGAAGGGGGCACTGAGAGCCAGCAGCAGCAAAGGGAGGGCTGCAACCTGCTGGAGCAGCTGCTGGCGTCGCAATCAAGCTGGGATCACCTCCAGAGTTTTAAAAAATCTTCCTCCTTGAAAAGAAAGCTGAGTGAGAGAAACAGGAGTGGACAACGTGGGGCGGAAGAAAGAGCAGAAGGAGAAAATGGAGCTCAAGAGAAGAGGAATGATTCTAGCTCCTCTCACCCAGAGTCAGTGCAGTGAACTGGAAGTCAGGACTCCTGGGTTCTCTTAGCAGCTCTACCATGTGAACTAGGCAAATCGCCACCTCTCTGTGCCTCAGTGTCTCCATCTGTAAAATGGGGCTAGTCCATGTGCCTCATGGCAATGTTGGTGGGAGGGGGAGATCAACGCTTCCGAAGCGCGGTAAGCCCCTCAGCTGGAGGGGTTCCAGCAGAGCTAAGAATTACTGAAGCATTTCAGAAAAGCCATCAGAGGGGTCAGCCTGTCCTGGCCTCATTCCACTGGACAGCTCACCTCAAATGGAAGAACCCCCTTCTTCTACACCCCCACTCCTTTCCCACTATAGTGAGCTCCTCCCACGAGCCCGCTTCCTCTGTGGACTCAAGCTGCCCGCGCGAATTCCTGCCTCCAATTCGTAAAAGCACGACATGTCATGGAAATGTACGTTTCCCCCCCCCCCCGTGCTTTTTATGCAGATACAAATCGGATTAAACAGTTCTGTGCATGAAGGGCTGGCAGCAGCTTAACTCGCTTCCTAACAGTTAGCAACTTCAAAAGCCACCAGACTGGGAAGGAGCAAACAGACTGGCCATTTGCCTTGTGTTCTGGCACAACGTCTTGCGTCACTTAGCCCACCCACCCCCGAACAATCACACCAGGAGTGCTGCCGAGATCGCCTTTGTTGTAAGGACAGACACGTGGAGCAGGGAGGATGGCCACACTGTTTCTGCTATGCTACTCAAACTCCAGCGCTAATTGCAATTGTGCCCCAGCCCCCACTGCTGCTCTCGTTTGCTCCCTACACTCACCTCTCCTGGGCCTTGATCCTTTAAAATCCTGACAGCACCCTCCACTCCCCATGTGGCAGTGGGCGTGAGGATGCTGGTGCTTGGCACCATGCAGGATGGATCCCCTGGCTCATCTCCTCCCCCACGCTGGGAACAGTCCCCGACTCCTTGCCACCAGCCCGCTTCTCCTGACCCACTTTGTGCAAACCCAGCCAGCGCTGCTCGCCACCTGCCAGCACTGGCCCCGGCAGTCTGGTGGTGGGGCTTCCCCATGAATCCCAGGTGTCTGGCTGAATTTGAGTAGAAGCTCTTCAAGGCAGAGACCACGTCTTGCATCTATAAACCATTGCGCATAAGCACCTGGCTGGGTAAAACATTAATGAGAGTCTAACACTGAGGCTGCCAGGCAACAAGGCTTGCAGCATTTAAGATCCAGCAGCCTATTAAGTGTAATGCAACGGCTTCTAGCTCCCCCAGGTTGTTATACAGGCAGACCGTAAACTAAGCCAAGAGGGAGATGCTGCGTAGCACTGTATCAGCAGAGTTAGGGGCTGGCCTAGGCGGGGGGAGGCTTCACCTGTTCATGTGATTCATGCCTCCCCATTACAGCAGGACAGGAAATGGTTCTCTCCTAATCACGAGGCACAAGGTTCCCAACTCGGTCCTTAGCCCCCTCCCACCAACCCTCTGCCCCTCTTCTTCCTCAGACAGCTGGCCAGCTAGCAGGCGGAGGAAGGCTTATCTGGCAACAGCACGACACTCCACTGGACGTGCAGACAGCGGTGTCCGAATCCCAAAGGGTGCATCATCCTCTTAAGCCTCCACCCCTGGGAGACACTGGGGCGTAACCTTGCAAATTTCTGCACTTGCCCTGGGCAATGATTTTGTAGCAAGCAAGTTAACAATTTATCACCATCACCTTTGCAAAGGTGAGCACACAGAGTTGATGCTGGAGCCGGGAAGTTTGCACGACAGCTTTGCTTGGCTGCTGCGGGTCACGCACTGGGGAAGCCAAGACCCACAGGAGAAGGCAAACCTTCCCAGCGCAAACAGAGGGCAGTAACAGAGTAGGAGTGTATTGCTTTTTGACTGCAATGGGCATCTGAGCACAGGCTTCCCCTCACAAAGCCAAGGAGACATCCCACTCTCATCCCTTCCCAAAGGCACTGAGCTGCAAAGGGAAGCTGATTTAAGTGAGGTCAGGACACCCCTCCCTACCTACCTTCCTCCTCCTGAGTAGCTGCCTGATCTCTCATTAGATGCTGCTTTGCAGCCCAGCTCTCAAGCACAAGCTGTAACTACTTAAAGGTTCCTAGAGAGAGATCAGTCGGGGCAGGCAAGAGGGCTCACTGCTCACAGGAGGGCGGGGGCTGAGCGTAAGAGCCCGAGCAGGCCCAGGGCAGAGCAGTTCAGCTTGCTTGCTGGTCACTTTTTCAGTCATGTTTTAGGAAGTCCAGAAGGAAGATTCCTGCCCGCCGGGAGGTGCTGGGGGCTGCTGATTGGAGCAGAGGGCTAGAAATTAGGACTGCCCCATTCTATTCCCGCCGAGTCGCTGATGCACCTGGGATAAGCCTGTTCAACCTCTCTGCCTCCCATTTTCCCACCTTGGAGCAGGGGTGAATTCCCAGCTCACGGGGGTGTTTGTCCACCCTAAGGTTAGCGAACAGCCTCAAGGCGCTTGGCTGAGAAATGCCGCAGGAGGCTAGGAAAGGACAATGTGCTGGGGCTGCCAAGCGCTTGTCCTCCACATTGAAGCACTTAAATCAGGCAGGGAGGCTTCAAGCTGCGCAGCGACATTGCAGGTCCCATTCTGCAGCAGGCTGGCAAGGGAGCCCTGGCATCGCTGACTGACCAGCCCGCCCTCAAGAATGTCATTATACGGTGACGGGAGCCTGGGAGGCCCCTTCTCCCCCAGCATCCGTGCGGTGAAAAGGCTGCAGGGCCGGTTTGAACATCCCTTCTTCATGGCTGCGTAGCCCTTCTCAGGGTGCATCCAGCCTGCCAGGGCTGGGCCCCCAAATCTGCCTGTTTTCCCACAGGGCAGCCCTGCAGTTGGGAAGATCTGGCATTTTAAAATGGGATAAGCGCTTTCCATGATGTGTGTGTGCGCATCTGTGGTGATTAGACAGGAGGCGTCCGCTTCTTCCCCGCCACTGCAGAGCTCATCAATTCCACTGTGAAACCTTCAGCAATGCTGCGCAGTTCACGCTCTGTTGATTTTCTCAATGACTTTCTATAAATAGAAAGCCCGGGGCCCTAGCTATCAAGAAAGCAAATGGGGAAGCGGCTATCCCTTCTGGGAGTAGCTTACACTCTAAAAGCAGCACCACGCTTCATTTATATTCATACTTCGCTCTTCTGTGCAGACATATTTTAACCCATTTTCTCTAACACAACTCTGCAAGCTTGAGAACGTGGATCCAGACCAATTCGGAGGCAAAATTAAATAATTTTGGAGCTTGGTGAGGGAGCACAGCATAAATCCCTTCAGAATTATCTCAGTGATTCTCCCAAAGCCCCTCTTCAAGGAGGAGAGAGACTGTCACACTCAGATGACAAGTTCTGAGGTGTACGCCCCAGAATGTGTTTACCAGAGATGGTGCAGCATAGGACACCCTGCCCTGTATCAATCTCACCTCCAACACCCTTCAGCTGAAAGCACTTCACAAATAAA